AAAATCCCTCTCTGTTTATCTGTTTATTTTCTTGTCAAGTAAACACACATTATAAAAATTAGACAAATAAATAGATAAACGACAAAGAACTATAGTAGAATCACCTATTACAATAATCACTAGAATAAATTAACCAAATTAATCACAGAAATGTTTTTGAATAACAATCTAGAAAAACCCTAAAAGAATTTGAAGTTAGAATTAAGGAATTAGAGCAGAGTAATGAAGATTACGCTCACAATTCAACTATTTTGAAGAAACGGTTAAAGCTCGGGAAGAGGAACCAAAAGTCAAGCAAGAATCTATTAGAAATTTAGAAGAAAATGTTAGAGAACAAGATGAATTACCCAATGCCAAACAAGAAATTATTAATGAATTAGAAGTAAGAATCAAAAATCTTGAATTAATCATATACCATGATACGATTAATAGTTTAAATATAACAGATGCAAATAAGGATGACATATTAAACTCCTTTGGTGGATTGAAAAAATATCGAAAATTAACAAAACTCGATTGCTACCATTCTCAAATAACTTGCCTTCTATTTGATGATTTTTGCTAGTAAAATTAGTTACTAATCATTTATTTTGTTATTATATCAAATTGTAAATTACTATTAGATAACATTATTTAATATTGAAAGTGCAATTTTTATAATATTTCTTAAACTATCGTCACTTTCTTGACAATTATGTTTTGAGGAACTCTACCTTTCGCAAGTGCTGATCGTTGTTCAAGGGGTAATTTATTACCTTTGGATGAAATATTTTGTGTCATTTATATTATCAAAAGAAAAAAATTTCTTTTGGGAAAAACAAGACGCGTAAATGAAAAAAGAAATATCATTTGTTCTTATGAATAAATGGTTTAAAAAAAAGTCTAATAAAGTTTTTAAATTAAACTATTTTGTGTAAACCGATAAAAAAGTTACTCAGCACTACGTCTGCGGCACTGCCGTGCCGAGTAACTATTACTTAAAACCCGAACTATGGGTGCGACTACAATAATCACAATATGGTTACACAAAATGAAGAGAGCAAGAGAAAAACATAAATCGTTCTTTCACTTACAAGTATGGCTGAAACGGGTAATTTTTTTTATTTAGCTGTGGTAATATTGGAAATAAGTTTCGATTTTTTTTTATTTGAAATTTTTTATAAATTAGATTTTAGGTTCTTTACGATTTCTACGGTTACGCCATTTATAAGGTTGCGTTACCTCCCAGTCGAAGGCATATTTTATAATGGAGGCGACAAAATTATATTAAACTAAGAAAAGGTTTATTAAGAAATATGGAAATACGAAAGAAAATCAGCCTCATTTTGCGCTCTGTAATAGGCTTTAAGAGAAGATAGACTGTTGAACTCGGTATGAATTAAGTTACTAAACAGGTTTTATTTTTAATATAATCCCTGGTAAATGAAAATTAACAAACGTCAAATGTCATCAAAAATGTTTAGAGTCATTTTTATCTTTAACAATCATGGATACTTCTGCAAAATACCGCAAATAACATTTCTTGTTGGAAGATGGTAAAACATTTAATACTCACTGAATTATAGCAATATGAAACGGACGTGAACTTTTTATTAATTTATCATATAACGAGAATATTACATTATACAATAAAAAATTATAGATCTTACATCATGATCATTATTTGTTAAAATATAACAACAGTGCCAGTGCTGGTAGGAAGACAAAATAGCAGGATCCAGGCCAGGCTGTCCTAATGATTATTTTTTATTAATTTTATTTGTAATTTCGTCTTTTTTCTTAATTACTCAGTTTTATTATTTTCGTAGTTTTAATTAATTAGAAAGTAGATCGCCGACGTTGAGGAAACACTGATTAATTATATATTATTAAATAAATATTGCGTAAACATTACTCCACTTTTACTCAATAAAAACTTTCTGCTTACATTTAAAAATATTATTAAAAATACGAACTGGTTACAATACTCTTAGTTCATAAAATTTATCGTTATACCATTACACGTTAAATTTAATGCTATTTTAACTACGTTAAATATGAATAGAAAAAAAAACCCCCCTATTTCTTTTTCGAAAATGGATTTTCCCAAATATAATGGAACTTGTCATCCTAATAAATATGTTAAACACATGCGTGC